TCGACGGGGTTGGCCTCGCAGCCGTCGGGGCCGCCACCCGCCTCAGGGCCGCCCGAGGCAGCGGCAGCGGAGCTGGCGGTGCCGGCTGCGAGGGCGTGAGGGTGTGTGGTGAGGAGCGCGGGTGGATACCGGCAGGGTGGTTGGCCCCAGCGCGCCGTGGCTTGTGCGAGCTACTGCGGGGAGTGTATCTGAGGCGTGTGGGCGTGTCTACAGGCACGCCGAGGAGCGAGCACGCGCCGACGCCCGCGGCCTGCGCCGCAAACTGCGCCCGCAGAGCGGCGAGCGCCGAGGGAAGGCTGTGCCCGTTGTCTTCGAGCGCGCGGATCACGCGCTCGCGGCTCAGCCCGCCCGCGGGCGCCACCATCCGCTGCAGCTTGCCCACCCTGCTCTCCAGACCGTCCGTGCTGCGCCGCAAGCCCGCCCCGTCGGCGGCGTCGGCAGCGGACGCCTCCGCGGGCGGCACGGGCCCGCGCGCGGGCGAGCGCGCCTCGCCCTCCGGAGAAGCGTCGGGCGCCGCACCCCCGCGCACGTCGGCAAGTGACGCGGCGATCGCGGCGTCCAGCTGCTCCTGCTCCTCCTGCTCCTCCTGCTCGCGGCTGCGCTTGCGGCGGCCATTGCCACGGCCCGTGCCGCCCACCGCCGCGGCCTCCTGGCGGGGCGCCGAGCAGCCGGTGAGGGGTCGGGTTCCCTGGGGGGTGGGGTACCCTACGCGCCCAAGACCGAACCCCAGCCCTCGGCGCGGGCGCGCAGCGAGAGAGAGCGAGTGCGAGAGCGAGAGCGAGAGCGAGGGAGAGAGCGAGGGAGGGAGGGAGGGAGGGAGCGAGGGAGGGAGGGAGAGCGAGCGAGCGAGCGAGCGAGCGAGAGAGAGAGGTAGAGAGAGGCGAGGGAGAGAGCCGCGAGGCGTTACGCTGCGAGGGTGAGGTCCGAGAGGCGAGGGGCGGGGGCGGCCGAGGGGCCGCCGGGTCGGGCGGGAGGAGGAGAGGCATAGCCGGCAGTCGGGAGGGGCAAGGCTCCGGCTCCTGGACAGAGGAGACGTCCCACGTAGAGACGTCGTCGTCGTCGAGGGGGATGACGCCGGCCGGCGGCCGCCACTGCTGCCCTCCCCCCGGCGCGGCGGCGGCCGACAGCGACGCTGCGAGCGCGGCGTCCAGCATCGCCCGCTCCGCCTCCGCAGACGTCGGCGCGCCGTGGCGTCCGCCGCGCTGGTGGTGCCCGCCTCCTCCGCGCTGGAACTCCGCGCCTCGGTGGCCCACTGCGCCGCCGCCGCCGCCGCCGCCACTCCCGCCCCCGCCGCCGCCGCCGCCGCCGCCGCCGTGCGGGGACGGCCCCGTGATTGCGAGGGAGCGCTTCCTGCCGTGCTCCGCCCCGCCGCCCGTCGCCGGCGTCGTCGCTCGGTGGCCTACGCCACGGGGAACACGCCGAACGTCACTTCGTGTTTGAACGCCTTCGAGCTAGCGGGAGGGCTGGGTTCGGGTACCGTAGGGGTAGGGGAGGGCGGTCTCGCGCAACAGTGTACTAGCAGCACCGCGTGGAGACACGGGGCTACGAATACGCTGAATGCCGCGGGAGGCGGCAGAAGACGGCGGGACCCGTCTCCTCTCCAGTGCTAGTTGGAAACAGGAGAGGAGCCCGTCTTCCGCGTCTTTGCCCGAGATAGGGGGAGATACGGGGAGATAGGGGGAGATCTTCCGCGTCTAGGCTCGGTGGCCGTCGGCGGCGGCGGCGGCAGCGGCGGCGGCATGGCTTCGGGAGACGGCTTTGGGCGAGGCGAGCGGCGGCGGCGCCGTCTCGCTATGCGCCGCGAACGAGAGGTCGAGCCCAAGCGAGGCCACATCGCAGGCAACCAGCAGCCCATCGGAGGCGTCGACTGCCCAGCACGGCGAGCTCGTACTCGCGTGCGCGGCGTCGCACCAGCGGGCGGCGAAGCAGCCGGCGAGCCGCGGCCAGCTGCGACTAACCCGGCATCGCCTCGAGTTTGAGCCGAAGGAGGAAAACTTGCCTCGCCTCGCCATCACCATCGCGGACGTCTCGGCCTTGAAGCAGTCCAAGGCGAGCGTCCAAGCAATCATGGCCAAGATCGTGCTCACTTCGGGCGAGTCGCACATCTTCACCTTCGAGGCCCTCGAGGACCGCCAGCGCCTCCACGAAACGTTCTTCCGGCTCCAGCAGCAACTGGGTGGCGTTGGCAGCGGCAGCAACGGCAGTGTTGGTGGCAGCAGCGGCGGAACTTCCAATACTCTTCCGAGCGCCGCCGCGCCGGTTGCAGCTTCTGGTGCGGCGTCGGCGTCAGCCGCGGAGCTGGCGCTGCTGAGCGAGCAATTGCTGAGCGAGCGTGACGTGGTGATGCTGCTGCACGTGAAGGGGAGTATCGCCCTGCCCCAGCTCATCAAGCACTTCAAGGAGGTGCTCCCTTTCTTTGGCGCCCACGAGGAGAGGCGCCTGCAGGACATCATCAAGAAGGTGGCCAAGCGGGCCGACGGTTCTCTCAAGGACACGACCGTGCAGGAGTACAACCTGCGCTGGTCCAGGATCTTGGACATGGGCGGGCGGCCGTTCGTCATCACTTTAGGGCGAGCGGTGCTGCTCGAGGGCATGACGCACCTGCCAGACGGGGCTTTCCGCGGCCGCACCTCTCTTGTCTCGGTCGCCTGCCCACGCAGCCTCGTCTCCATCGGAAACGGCGCCTTCCACAGCTGTTCCTCCCTTACCACCATCACCCTCCCTGCCGGCCTCACCTCCATCGGTGGCTACGGCCTGACCTCCATCGGCGACCACGCCTTCCACAGCTGTTCCTCCCTCACCACCATCACCTTCCCTGCCTGCCTCACCTCCATCGGAAACGGCGCCTTCCACAGCTGTTCCTCCCTTACCACCATCACCTTCCCTGCCTGCCTCACCTCCATCGGCCGGCACGCCTTCTTCGGCTGCTCCGCCCTGACCTCCATCACCTTCCCTGCCAGCCTCACCTCAATCGACTACGCCGCCTTCCACAGCTGCTCCGCCCTCGCCTCCGTCAATCTCCCCGCCGGCCTCACCTCCATCGGCCAGCACGCCTTCCACAGCTGCTCCGCCCTCGCCTCCGTCAATCTCCCCGCCGGCCTCACCTCCATCGGCTACGCCGCATTCCACAGCTGCTCCGCCCTCGCCTCCGTCAATCTCCCCGCCGGCCTCACCTCCATCGGCTACGCCGCATTCCACAGCTGCTCCGCCCTCGCCTCCGTCAACCTCCCCGCCGGCCTCACCTCCATCGGCCGGCACGCCTTCGACGGCTGCTCCGCCCTCGCCTCCGTCAACCTCCCCGCCGGCCTCACCTCCATCGGCCGGCACGCCTTCCACAGCTGCTCCGCCCTCGCCTCCGTCAACCTCCCCGCCGGCCTCACCTCCATCGGCCGGCACGCCTTCCACAGCTGCTCCGCCCTCGCCTCCGTCACCTTCCCCGCCGGCCTCACCTCCATCGGCGAGTGCGCCTTCCAGAGGTGCTCCTCCCTCACCTCCATCACGCTGCCGCTGCCCGATGGCCTGTCGATTGGCAACTATGCCTTCTTCGACTGCCCTCTCGACGACGAGGCGCAGGCAGCAGTGCGGGCCATCAACTTTTTGGCGGTGCGGCCTCCAATCGACGCGCAGGGTCACGCCACTGTGCCGGAGGGCCTCACCACCATCGGCAGCTGGGCCTTCGTGTGCTGCTCCTCCCTCACCAGCGTCGCCTTCCCCGCCGGACTCACATCCATCGGCGAGGGCGCTTTCGACCACTGCTCCGCCCTCGTCTCCGTCACCTTCCCCGCCGGCCTCACCTCCATCGCCAGCCGCGCCTTCTTCGGCTGCCGCTCCCTCGCCCGCGTCACCTTCCCTGCTGGCCTCGTCTCCATCGGCTGGCGCGCCTTCGATGGCTGCTTCTCCCTCTCCCACGTCACCGTGCCAGACACTGCCGCGATCAGCGACGAGGCTTTCAAACCTGAGACCACCGTACTCCGCCTCCCGCCCAAGAGGATGCGCAACCTGCAGCGCTGGTACGAGGCGGTAGATGGGGCTCTGGCCTACAAGCGCTGCCGCCCCCTCCTCTACGGCTGGCTAGAGCGGGCCAACATCGAGCTGGGCTCTTACGGCCAGGACGGCGCGGCGCGCAAGCGCGACCGCGAGGCGTTCGAGGGCGATTTTGGGCAAGGCCCTGCTGGCTCTTCGGAGGCCGATCAAGCCGAGGCGGAGGCGGAGGCGGCGTCGACCAACCAGCCGGCGGCGTCATCGTCGATTGACTCCTGAGTCCTGTCATCGGACGCGACGGCGGTGGGCAATGTCGCGGCACAACACTGGGCACGACCTCGCGCGAAATTCTAGCACGTGAAATTCTTTTCTCTGTGTTAGTGCCAGTGCGGTCAGTCCCGGTCTCCCGACATAAAGGGGAGATTGATTGATTGATGGGAAGGCGAAACACAGTCCGACCAACGACTTTGACACCAACGCGGTAAGATGTACGAAAAAGAATTTCGCGACGAAAAAGAAACTCGCCGCTTTCCCACCAAAAGTCGTTGCTTCCCATGCCTAGCCCATCCGTGGCTTCCGCAACGCCCAGCGCGACGCTCCGGCCCTTCTTCCTCGAGGTCAAGCTGAAATCCGGGGAGGGCCTCATCAATCCGGACGCGGGCGCATCCGGATCGCTCGTCGGCCTCCTGCTTGCTCGGCCAGATGCTGGCGAGCCCGTCCGACTCTATGTAGCGCTTTCCCCGCCGGCGCAGCAGCGCAAGCGGGGCGCGCCCACCTGCGCACTCGTTCGCGACTTTGCGATTGGCGGGCACGACGGCGCGACCCTCGAGTTCGCGTCAGGCCGCTCCCGCCTGATGGTCCAGCACCAGCTGTGCGTGCCGCTCAGCGAGAGAAATTGCCTGCCGTCCGCGTGCCGCGATTGGACGGACCGATTCAACGCCGCCGGAGTCAACGACCGATTCGTGTACCCGGCCGCAGTCACCGTCCAAGCCGCCGCCGACGCCATGGCGCGGGCGGCGGCGGCCAGGGCGAAGAGTGCCTCGGGTGGCCACCGGCCAAGCAACAGCCTCCTCAGCAGCGGTAGCGGGGGCCCTCGGCTGTCCGCGCCTGCGAGCAGCACCCCCTTCAAGGCGGCGGCCCGCGGCGGCGGGGGCGGCGGAAGCATGGCGCGCTGGCCCTCTCCGGGCGGCGGCGGCGGCGGAGGCGCCTCCCGCGGCTGTCCGTCCTGCCACAAGTGCTCCCCCCGCCAACGCGCGCGCCTGGGCATTGTAGGGTCGCCGGCGTGTGGCGTCGCCGCCGCGGCCGCCCCGCCACGCGCGGCGGGCGGCCGGGCGGGGCACGGCTCCCGGATGATGGCGGCGGCGGCCGGAGCCGCTCGCAGCGGCGGCGGTGCGGCTGCGGCGCCGCTGCCGCAGCTGCACCAGCGCAAGATTGAGGCGACCGGCGAGTACTCGGTGACGCGGCGCCCGGGTGTGGGCTTCGCGCGCTTTCCCGACCGCCGCCCGGAGATGGGCGGCGGAGGCGGCGGAGGCGGCGGAGGCGGCGGCGTCGGCGGCGGCGGGCGGCGGGCGGCCGTGGTCCACTCCGGCTTCCGCAACCTCGGAAACACTTGCTACATGTCGGCGGTGAGATGAGCCGAGATGCGCCGAGATGAGCTCTACCCGCTGCGACTGGTTGCGCCGCCCAAGACAGGGGGGAGCTGGGCATGCGTGTGAGCGGCGTCGGCTCGCACCTCCCCCTCCGCGCAGGTGCTCGCGGCGGTCACCGCGCTGCCGTGCTTTGTGGACGACCTGCTCGAAGACGCGGTCATGGAGCGGCTCGGCCGGTGCTACCTTACCGCCACCGCCCTTGCCGCCGCCTCTGCTGCCCACACCCGCCGCCGCCTCTGCTGCCGCCGCCCTTTCCGCCGCCGCCCTTTCCGCCGCCGCCCTTTCCGCCGCCGCCCTTGCCACCGCCGCCCTTGCCACCGCCGCCGCTTCCCTGGCCGCTGCCCGCTACAACGAGTCCACAGCCCCGGCATCACCTCCACCAGCACTCTCCCAGCGCCGCTTCCCCCCCTCCAGGTGCCTCCCCGAGGCGTCCGTCTACCGCGCCTTCCGCGAGGTTGCGCGCCAGGTGTGCGGGCTCCAGCCGAAGGCGGCGGGAGGAGGCGGCGGCGGCAGCAGCAGCGGCAGCGGCGGCGGCGGCGGCGGCGGCGGCGGCGGCGGCGGCGGCGGCGGCGGCGGCGGCGGCGGCGGCGGCGGCGGCGGCGCGCCGCCCACGCGCACCTTCACCTCTGGAGAGCGCGGCGCGAGGATGCAGCTCGCGCTGCCCTGGCCGACGGAGGCGGTCGCCGCCGCCGCCGCCGCGGACGGGTTTGCGCGGGTGGCCTTTTCGGACGGGGCGGGCGCGGTGCTGGCGCCGGCGCCCAAAGCGGCGGCGCGGGAGAGAGCCGGCGGCAAGCGCCGATCCCGCGACAAGGGCGGGGAGTCGCGGGCGGCAGCCGAGCCCGCGGCGAGGCGCGCGAGGGGACGGGACGCGGCGACGGCGAGGCGGTGACGCGTGGAGGTGTGCAGCGGAATGATGGGCGCCGGCAGATGGGCGAACCCATTTAATTCGAATTGAGTCCATTCTCGCCTGCGGGAAGCAGTGGGGGGTGCGTATTCTGCTCCTAGGGCGTAGGGGTTTACACTTTTTATTTAGCAGACCGCGCGGGCGGCGGCCGGACCGGGCGGCCTGGCTGGGCTGTGCCTGTGGCTGGGCGCGGGCTCCTGCAGTGGTGTGCAGACGGAGCCGAGTCCACAGAGACGCCGGACTCGTACGTTGGGTAGTAGTCTAAGTTCTGAGCCTCGAGGCTTGGCGGGTCTAAGTGTGCCTAGGCACGCTGGAGTGCTTACGCGGTCTAAGATCAGCGAGAGCCTCTTACACGGGCTAAGTCTGCCGTGGCACGGCCTGGCTGCCACCGTGATCAACCGATACGTGGCTGGGTTCACAGCCTTGTTATTGAGAAGAAAATACCTCCTGTGGCGCGCTGTGCGCTGGTCTGTGAGAGGTTGAGGTGCGAGCCCTGGAGGCCCTGGGGAATTCACAGCGATTGTACTCGAGTAGGCAAGTGAAGGGACCAAATCACGGTCGCGTCCTTCCGACTCGCGCCTCCGCCTCACTGGCACTATTGTAACCCTGGCCGGTGCGCGTGCAGAGTTGAAGTTCCGGAGTGAAAATATGAACGCGTTCTCTCACGGTGACCAAAAAATGTCCACCTCAGAGGCACCTCCGGAGGCAGGCCGCCGCACGCCGGCGACACAGCTCCAGCTGTCGAACTGACCCGCAGCTCCTCTCAGAGCGGGAACTGTGACAAAAGTTGACTGAGGCGGTTGTCAGGAATCATCATACGGATCACATGGTGGCTCTCTCATGACGGGAGACCGCCCGACCACTCCTGGGTGGCACTGCCACCGGTGTCGCTCGACGTCCTGTCGACAGCGTGCCGACAGCGACACAGACACATGTGTGACGCGTCGAGTATCGACCTCTACTGCTTACCCAGCCTTCGAGTGTATCCTGGCTGTGGTCCCACACCCACTGGTGTCCATCTCAGAGACCGCAGGAGGTCATGAGGGTCGATGGGAGTGCCAACCCCACAATGCCTAAAAACCCAGCCCAGTACGGCGCGCAAGCGGGCGCCTACTAATCCGGATCGATCCCCTCCTCATGCTCAGCAATCGCCGCCTCAGCATCCTCCTCTTCCGATTCTTGTTGCTGCTTCTTGAGCGCAATCTTCAGCGATGTCTAGCCAAACAGTTCTCACAAATAGCCTCAAGCTCAAACAAACGCCCGTCAGAGAAGCCTGTGTGGCTGTGCATGCGCTGGTCCTCTTTGAACGATCCGCGCGTGAGGTAGCATAGGGCCTTGTTGGCAGCAGCCAGCTTGTTGCGCTGCTTCGTTGCGCTGAGCTGATGGGGATCGCAGAAGTGCATGCCAAGCACCGCCACGATCTTGAAGCAGAACACATCGCAACCGCCTGAGCCCTGGTCTGACAGCCTGACAGCAAACCCCGGACAGCGCCTGACAGTGCCCGACAGCCTGACAGATCACCTGACAGCACCTGACAGCCTGACAGCCAGGGCTCAGCGCAACCGCATTGTCCGCACTGGACTGCCATCGGCATGCCGCGCCCGCCGCTTCGCCGCAGCAGCCTTAAGACAGGCATTCCATAGCGGCAGCACATGGTACGGTGCGCGTATTGAGCAGGCGTTGCGCGCCGTGCCGCAAGTAGCGCACTGGCCCTGGG